TACAAACATACATGCATACACACATGCGTGTGCACACACACATCCTGTACACACATGTATTTACACACACTGCAGGGATATGTGTCACAGACCAGGAGCCAACTGAAAAACTGCCCGGTGGCCAAAGGGGGAACAATTGGGGCTGAAAAATAGAGAAATACAGGATCACCACTCAGAGTATAAAGTACATTGTTACCAGTCCATGCTGACGTAAATAAGTCATTGAATGAATAAACAAATGGGCGTGGGGGGCAAATCCCCCACACGGAATTCCGAGTGCCTATGCAGCCACTCCGCTGTCCAGGAGGTGGAGCGTGACCCCTCACTCCAGGAGCCTGAGTGGCAGGCACAGCCTTCCTTCCAAAGAACAGAGTATGAAGCCGCGGAGGGCGGGAAAGACAGCAGCCTCCAGGAGACACCTGCGACTCTCCTCAGCTGCGTGACTCAGGCCTCAAATCCAGTGATAAGCCCTACTGATAACGTGTACCTTGATGTGACCTGATGGGAACGGCTCCTGCTTGTTTGGTTTCAGTTTTTTTGAGACGGAGTTTCGCTCTTGTCACCCAGCCTGGGGTGCAGTGGCATCATCTCGGCTTACTGCAACCTCCGCCTCCCAGGTTCAAGCAATTCTCCTGCCTCAGCCTCCCAAGTAGCTAGGATTACAGGCATGCACCACCACGCCCGGCTAATTTTTGTATTTTTAGCACAGACAGGGTTTCCCCATGTTGGCCAGGCTGGTCTCAAACTCCTGACCTCAAGCGATCCACCCACCTCAGCCTCCCAAAGTGCTGGGATGACAGGTCCGGCCGGGAATGACTCTTTATCTCTGCAAACCTTCTCCCATAAAACTGTAACCCCAGCCTAGTGATAAGGAAAACATCAGATAAATCCTAATTGACGGACATTCTACAAAACACCTGACCAGCCCTCCTCAAATCTCTCAGTGTCATCAAAAACAAGGAACAGCTGAGAAACCGTCACAGCCAAGAGGAGCCTGAGGAGACCTGAGGACCGAATACCATGAATTGGCTGTCCAGGGGGTTGAGGCTGCAGTGAGCAGAGATCGTGCCACCGCATTCCAGGTTGGACAACAGAGCAAGACCCTGTTTCCAATAATAATAATAACTTATCAGCCTGGTACGGTGGCTCACAGCTGTAATCCCAGCACTTTGGGAGGCCGAGGCAGGTGGATCACCTGAGATCAGGAGTTCAAAACCACCCGGGGCAACATGGCGAAATCCCTGTCTCTACTAAAAATACAAAAAATTAGCCAGGCGTGCTGGCGCACATCTGTAGTCCCAGCTACTTGAGAGGCGAGGTAGGAGAGTTGCTTGAACCTAGGATACAGAGGTTGCAGTGAGCCAAGACCACAGCATTGCACTCCAGCCTGGGTGACAAGAGTGAAACTCTGTCTCAAAAAAATAATAATAATAACTTATCAATGCTGGTTCCTTAATTGTGCAAAGTACCACACTAATAGTCAACATTAATAACGGGGGAACTGGGTGCAGGGGACGTGGCAACTCTGTATTGTCTTCGCAATTTTTCCGTCAACCTAAAACTATCGTAAAATAAAAAGTTTTGTCAAAACAGAAAGCATGGTAGCTATTTGTATGCGTTTGTCCTCTAAATTGATTTAGATTGTGCCACTGCACTCCAGCCCGGGTGACAAGAGGCAAACTCCGTCTCAAATATATGTGTGTGTATGTGTGTGTACATATACATATATCAATGACAATCTCACTTATATATCAAGTGACAATCTCGGCTCACTGCAACCTCCACCTCCCGGGTTCAAGCAATTCTCATGCCTCAGCCTCCGAGTAGCTGAAATTACAGGTGCACGCCACCATGCCTGGCTAAGTTTTGCATTTTCAGAAGAGACGGGTTTTCGCCATGTTGGCCAGGCTAGACTGCACCATTTTTCAAGAAAATGTTGTCAACAGCCCCAAAGGCTGACCACAGGATCCCCAGTAAACAAAGCCTGGTAAATTGCTGCACCTTGAAGCAGCCGAAGCTGAATGCCAGGGCTCAGCGGCCAGAACACTTGGGTGCAAGCTTTAACCTCTCTCTGCCTCAGTGTCCCACCTGTCAAGTGAGGAGTTTACTACCTTCTAACACAGGGACTACCTCCCAGCTTCGATGAGATGGTGGCTATTGCTGAGCGCCTGGACTGTGGGAAATGCCAGGTTGTCATGAGTTACAGTCAACCACTGCAAACTCTTCTCCATGCGCTTTATGAGACCAGGGAAGAGAACAAACACCTATGTGGGGTGACCCCAGGAGCTCCCCAACAAAGCGGGACTGAGGTACAGAGCCAAACGCCGGAGGAAGAGGTACCTCAACATGGCTCAGCTGTGCTGGGAGGGTCAGGGGGCTGACCTTCCATGCCTCTCCAGACCTGGCCCAGGCTGGTAAGAGCACGCCCCGGGGGCCGAGAGGAGAACGTGGGGAACCACGGACCCCACACCCGCAAGCCACCAGGATCTGCGCCGGCCCAAGCACACCCCAGAGGCACCCAGCCTGGACCACTGCCTGGCGGCGTGCGCAGGCCCTGCCTCCACGGCGGCCCACTCGAGCCCCAGCCCACAGCCCGCTCCTGCTGAAACCCAGCAATGCCCCCAGGCCTGGAATCCACCATCAGCTGGGACTAGGTCCCGCCGAGGGTGGAAACCGCACCGAGGCAGTGCGTGGAATTCTCCCCGGGAGGGCGCAGCCCGGGGTGAGCCACCCAGGACGCTGGGGACCAGGCGCCTTCTGCGCACCCTGCCATCCCCGGGGAGCCCCTCATCAGGCGGCTCAGGGCGGCAGCCGGGGGCATCAGATGGAGGGAAAAAAAAACAAAAAAGAAGAGGCGCCAAGGCCAGCTTCTAGCAAGAGCCTGGGGACTGGACTGAAATGACATTCTCCTTTTGCCCCATTGGCCAAAACCTGGTCACGTGGCCGTGCTTTGCTGCAAGGAATGCTGGGAAATGTAGTCTTTCTTCTCGGCAGCCATCTTATCATGAAAGAGGGGAGAACAGGTATGAGGGCACAGCTAACCTGCTCTGCCACAGCAGAAAATCCAGACCCCGCCGCGGCCTACGGGCCCCTGGTCGACCCCCTCGGGGGCCGGGGCGCCTCCCTTCCTCCATGCCTGGTCCCTCTGCTGAAGCCTTCCTGCCCTCTCTCCTGGCTCCATCCATCCTATGGGTTACCCCAAAGCTGGTGCCAGCGAAGCCTGACCTCCTCTCCCGAAGCCGCCTGCACTCCCCCGTGCGTGCATCGCAATCTGTGTCCCTGACACACGGGCATCCTTGCCCTCCCCAAGGTCTGTGCTCCCCAGGCAGGAGCCGCACCTCTGGGTGCCCTGAGCCCAGCCCAGCAGAGCAGGCACCCCACGTGGTGGTTGCAGGAACCGGGCGGGGGCTCCATCCTGGTTTTCAGCCTTTGGTGCACAGAAGCGTGAAGAAGCAGGGTCGCTGGCACCGAGGCCTCCTTGAGAGCCTGTTCCAGTCGGCGGGGCAGGGAGGGCCAGGGGTCTGCACCTGGGGTCCTTGCCCACCCACCCGGTCAGGAGGCTGCAGCAGGCTCTGTGGTGTCATCTGAGTGCCATGGCCATCGCTCTGAGGTGGGGATAGCTTGCTGCAGCCAGGCAAAGGTCTTAAGGAAGGCAAGGACCACCGTTGGCAGGTGTGTGGCTCCAGACTGAAATGCTGACAGTGGCTGCGTGGCCCCAGCCACGCCCTTCCATGCCCTTCCATCTCCCCACCGTGCAATCCCGTGCACCGCCTCTCAGCAAAACCTCCAGGATCCACCTCAAACCCAGCCCAGCCCACAGCCACCACCCTGGTCTGGGCCACCAATATCTCTTGCTCAGACACAGGCAGTCACCTCCCCAGGGAGCACCCAGTGTCCATTCTGCCCTCATTCTGGTCCGTCCTTCACCCGCAAATGGAGAGGGTTTTTAAGCATTAGATCAGTTCATGTCATTCTCTTGCTTAAAACCCAGCCCTGGCTTCCACTGCTTGGCATGAGAATCACCGCCGCCTGCCCTACAGGACTGGCCCTGCCGCCCTGTCACCTGCCCCATGCCCGCTCCCCTGGCTCACGGCCCCTCCGGCCACTCGTTGCATGCCACCCCACCCACCCGCCAGCTTCTCCATCTGGTCTTCCTGTCTTCCTTTCTTTTGGGAAACTCTATCTTCTTTTCTGGTTTGTTCGTTTTTCTTTGTGTGTCCCCAGCTCGAAGGGAGGTCACCAGGAACACTGTCTCATTCACTCCTGTGTCCCCAGAGCCTAGAACCACGCCTGGTACACAGAATGTGCTTAGCAGGTACTGAGACAGAGACATACAGAGAAGGAAAGAGGGAGAGACACAGAGAAAGAGAGCAAGGATAAGAGACGGGGAGGGAGAGACGGCGGGAGGGAGGGAGGGCTACACCCTGAACTCAGGGTTTCCCTCCCACCCCTCATGTGCCCATGGCGACAAGGGAATCCCCCTCTTCTGACCCCTTGCCAAAAGGTCCGACAAGCAAGAATGTCCGAGCCCCGGGCCCCCTCTGAGATTCTCCAGAAGGAAGCACCCCAAGAAAGAAGGTGCACAGGACGCTGTGCTGGAGCCATCAGGTTCCAGGTCAGCTCCCTACCCTCCAGGAGCCCCTAACAGGAGCAGGAGGGGAAGAAGAGGCACCCAGCCTGGGGTTCCCCCTGGACAAGGCCATGCTGTGACCCAGGCTTGGTCCTGGCCCTGGCTGCAGGAAGCCCGCCGCACAGGCAGGCCTGAGGCCCATGTGCCCCGAAAGGCCTGGAGAGGGGGTCCCACCCCACCCTCATTTGGGTCCCCTGGGGTCAGGGTGATCTGGGGCAGAGGAGCCACCGGTTGCAATGGGAGGGGGAGAAGGTACAACTCTGCCGGTGGAATGGACTCCTGCTGCTGTGCCCTGAGCCCTGGGTCACCGTCCCCACTCTGGGGAGGAGCCTGGAGCCCCGAGGGCGCAACTGGCAATAAAGACAGACACGCCCAAATTGATGCCAGCCCACGCACTCGAGGCTGGGACCAGGGGTGGCACCAACACGGCTGGGGAGCCCACTCCCGAGGTGCCACTGACTGGGGATGACCACAGCCACAGTGCAAAGACGCACGGGATGAGATCAGCCCCCGTGACCCTGGGACTTTGCCCTCCTCCTCAGCAGAAGCTCTCCCGGCACCCTGTGTGCCTGTCCATCTGGAAGGCCCAGCATGAGACGCCCGGCCATCCTCCTCGCTGTGGCTCTGGCCACGCTCCTGGCTCCAGGGGCCGGGGCACCGGTCCACAGGCAGGGCTCCCGGCACAAGCTGCTCCTGGTGTCCTTCGACGGCTTCCGCTGGAACTACGACCAGGACGTGGACACCCCCAACCTGGACGCCATGGCCCGAGATGGGGTGAAGGCACGCTATATGACCCCCGCCTTTGTCACCATGACCAGCCCCTGCCACTTCACCCTGGTCACTGGTGAGCAACGCCCCAGGATGGGGCCTGGGGGCGGGAGGGCCTGAGAAACCAGGTGGCACAGAGCCCTGTCGTGCGGGATGAAGGTGAGACGTCCTTGCTCCACGCACAGGACACAGCCCAGGGGCATTAGGAATCCTCACTGTTACGCCAGGCACAGTGTCTCATCCCTATAATAGCAGCACTTTGGGAGGCTGAGGCGGGCGAATCACCTGAGGTCAGCAGTTCAAGACCAGCCTGGTCAACATGGTGAAACCCCATCTCTACTAAAAATATAAAAATTAGCCGGGCACTGTGGCGCATGCCTTAAGTCCCAGCTACTCAGGAGGCTGAGGCAGGAGAATCGCTTGAACCAGGGAGGCGGAGGTTGCAGTGAGCCAAGATCGAGCCACTGTACTCTAGCCTGGGTGACAGAGGGAGACCCTGTCTCAAAAAAAAAAAAAAAAAAGGAATGCTCACCATTGGTAGCAACAGATGTAGGATGAAGAAAAATGCGCAGTGGGATCCTTAAACCATGGTCGCAGCCAGGGCAGCAACCCCAGAGGGCTTCAGGAGGAGGGAACTGTGGTGGGCTCAGGGCCTGGGAAAGATGTGCTGGGCTTCCCACTGGGTCTCACGTCGCCCCTTCCTCACCTGCCTTTCCAGCCTCTCGTGGCCGTGCCAGCCTCTCCCTCTCCCTCCCATCCTTTCCATTTCCCAGCCAACACCTCCCTGACAGATCTTCCCAGGCTGTAGACAACACAGACATAAGTTTTTAAAGAGCCAAATATGGGGCCTGGCACAGTGGCTCCCACCTGTCATCCCAGCACTTTGAAAGGCTGAGGTGGGCAGATCACTTGAGGTCAGGAGTTCGAGGCCATCCTGGCCAACATGGTGAAACCCCATCTCTACTAAAAATACAAAATCAGCCAGGCGTGGTGGTGCATGCCTGTAATTCCAACTACTTGGGAAGCTGAGGCAGGCGAATTGCATGAACCCAGGAGGTGGAGGTCGCAGTGAGCTGAGATCACACCACTGCACTCCAGCCTGGGCAACGAAGCAAGACTCCATCTCAAAAAAAAACAGAAAAAAAAAGAAAGTCAAATATGGGAGGCTGAGGCAGGAGGATTGCTGGAGCCCAGGAGGTAGAGGCTGCAGTGAGCTGAGATCGCGCCGCTGCACCCCAGCCTGGGCAACAGAGCAAGACCCTGAGTCAAAAAGAAATAAAATAATAAAAAGCCAAGTACCACAACAATGGTGTTAGAGAGTGAAAAGCAAACACCCCCGGCCCTCCCGAGGGGCACGGCCACGGCTCAGACCTGTGTCATCCTCCAAAGACCCCGCACAGGTGTCCCAGGGCTGCCGCAGCAAGAACCACAGGAAGGGATCCTCGTGCTTCTGGAGGCCAGAAGGCCAAGGCCAGGGCATCGCAGGCTCTGGCAGAGGCTCCCTCCTCACCTCTTCTGGCTCCTGGGGCCCGGCAATCCTTGGCATTCCTGGGCTGGCGGCAGCATCCCTCCGACCTCTGCCTCCGCCTTCCCGGGGCCTCTCCTCTGCGTGCGTCTGTACTCGGCTTCCCTCTTCTCTCAAGGACACCAGTGGCTGACTTGCGTGTCCACACTTCTCCAGTACACATCCCCTTACCTAGCTAATTCCACCTGCAAACACCCGGTTTCCAAATAAGGCCACGTTCTAAGGTTCTAAGTGAGCATGAACGTGGTGGGACCCCATCACCCTAACAGCTGGCGCGTCCCCACCGCAGCGTTTCTGCGGCCTCGGCCCCCTCTAACCGCGAAGGGAGGTGTGCGGTCCTCCCGTCTGCAAGCACCTTTCGCTCCCCGCATCGAAGATGGGGACGGGAGGAAGGGACTTTCTCGGGTTCATTTCTCCTCTGGCACCTTTTGGACTTAGTACCATAGGCACATGCTTCCTGTGCAAAAATACATTTAAAAAAACCTCATTGACCTCCACGTGGTTCGCTGAAATTCCTGCCTGGGATTTCATCTGACGGCTGGGCCAGTGTTTACTTAATTACTTCCTTCCTGATGGCCGTGGAGGTCACCCCCAATCTCTTGCTAAAGCAAACAAGGCTGCCGCCAGCATCCCTGAGCGTGCATCCCTGCAGATGTGCCCATCCAGCTGCAGGACAAACTGAAAGTGGAAGTAGAATCTCTAGGTCAAAGAATTTGTCTCGGACACGACCTTGAACCCTGGCTCCCAGGGGGCAGTCCAGGAGGAAGTCCACTCCCCCCAGCCCTGCCCCAGGCCCGTCTCCCCACGCAGCACACGAGGGAAACTGGGCCGCTTTGGCTCACCTCTTCCAGCCCTGGGTCCGGCCTCGCTGTGACCCCCGGTCCCTCCCACCGCCCTCTCCCCCTCTTCCTCCCTCAGGCAAATACATTGAGAACCACGGGGTGGTTCACAACATGTACTACAACACCACCAGCAAGGTGAAGCTGCCCTACCATGCCACGCTGGGCATCCAGAGGTGGTGGGACAACGGCAGCGTGCCCATCTGGATCACAGCCCAGAGGCAGGTAATGCCATCCCGCCCACACTGAGCTTGCCCAGGCGAGGCCTGGGACCAAGTGAGGACCCCTTCCCCACTCCAAGGTCTCGGGGCTCCTGGCCTACTCACAGAAGAGTGTGAGGCAGGGCGGGTAGTGGGTGCTGAACCAGCGAGCTGCATCCCGCTCAGCCCGTGCACGCAGCCCGGAGCAAGAGGGATTGCTCTGCCCCCAGTCGGAGGGAGAACTGCATCCTCGGGCCCTGCAGCATGGGGTGGGGGCCAACAGGAATGATAATTGTGACTTCATGAGAAAGCATGTAACCACGAAACGACTTTCTCCTTCCCCACATCCCTGTCCGAGCTGAACAGCTAAATTCTAAAGGGCCAAAGAGGAAATGCCAGTGGGTTATCATATCGGCCCAGGAATCCCCCCACTTTGCAATGCCCTGGAGGCTGCCTGGCCCGGGGTGAGGCTTCCAGTCAACAAAGTCTGTGGAGGTTTCCAAAATGAGGCTGGAATAAATGCCAGAGCCCACGGCCACCTTACAGCCAAGGTATCCACTCGAGCCGGAGTCCCCTCGCTGCAGAAGGACCCACAGACCCACTCAGGGCTCCTTCCAGGGACTCGTGAGCAGGAAGCCAAAGTAGAGACCCGGCATCTCATGGTGTTTCATCCAACAAAAGAATGTCCCGAGGGAGTGGACGGGAGGGGACAGATGAATCCTAAACAAAGCAGCAAGCGACTTGGGGCAGACAGGCGGCCAGGCAGAAGGCTGGAGGGGCAGGTGGACGGGACGCACGTGGACAGACAGACAGACTCATGCCTGGACCAGAGCCCAGCAGGGCAGACCAGACTGCGGGTGAGAAGGGGACGCCTTCTGGGCAGTGTGGCCCCCAGGCAGGCATTACAGCCCAATGATGAGGCAGACAGGGCGCATCTGGGACCATTTGTGTAGTGACGTCCCGTCTAGTGCTCACATCCAGTGAGCACCTGCCATTTCCTCTGTGAAATCGGGTTTTCCCTCCAGAGAACATGAGATCAGAGATGTTTTAGAAATGAAAGGCCCCGCGGCTGCAGCTAGGAGCAGGGGTGGGGTGGGTGGACAGAGGAGGAGGTGAGCCGGGGGCAAATGTGCTCACAGGCATGGGGCGAGGGGCACCCACTGAGGGGTCCCCTCTTTCATGCTGCCTTGTCTGGCAGGGCCTGAAGGCTGGCTCCTTCTTCTACCCCGGCGGGAATGTCACCTACCAAGGGGTGGCCGTGACGCGGAGCCGGAAGGAAGGCGTCCTGCACAACTACAAAAATGAGACGGAGTGGAGAGCCAACGTCGACACGGTGATGGCGTGGTTCACGGAGGAGGGCCTGGATCTGGTCACGCTCTACTTCGGGGAACCAGACTCCACGGGCCACAAGTACGGCCCCGAGTCCCCGGAGAGGAAGGAGATGGTGCAGCAGGTGGACCGGACCGTGGGCTACCTCCGGGAGAGCATCGCGCGCAGCCACCTCACAGACAGCCTCAACCTGATCGTCACGTCCGACCACGGCATGACCACCGTCAACAAGAAGGCTGGTGACCTGGTCGAGTTCCACAAGTTCCCCAACTTCACCTTCCAGGACATCGAGTTTGAGCTCCTGGACTACGGACCAAACGGGATGCTGCTCCCTAAAGAAGGGAGGCTGGAGACGGTGTACAGTGCGCTCAAGGACGCCCACCCCAAGCTCCACGTCTACAAGCGGGAGGAGTTCCCCGAGGCCTTCCACTACGCCGACAACCCCAGGATCACGCCCCTGCTGATGTACAGCGACCTTGGCTACGTCATCCACGGAGTGAGTCGCCTGCTGGAGGCACCACCTTCGGGGGCTCCCCCCCGGGGCTTGGGTCTCCTTTTTGTCTTTTTTTGAGACAGGGTTTTGCTCTGTTGACCCGGCTGGAGTGCAGTGCCAGGGTCTCAGCTCACTGCAGCCTTGAACTCCCAGGCTCAAGCGATCCTTCCACCTCAGCCTCCTAAGCAGCTGAGACCACAGGTGCATGCCACCGTGCCTGTCTCATTTTTGTGTGTGTTTTTTTGTTTTTTGTTTTTGAGAAAGAAGTTTCACTCTCGTCGCCCAGGCTAGAGTGCAATGGTGTGATCTTGGCTCACTACAGCCTCTGCCTCCCAGGTTCAAGCGATTCTCCTGCCTCAGCCTCCAGAGTAGCTGGGATTACAGGGGCCTGCAACCATGCCTGACTAATTTTTTTGTATTTTTAGTAGAGACGGGGTTTTGCCATGTGGGCCAGGCTGGCCTTGAACTCCTGGCCTCAGGTGATCACCCTGCCTCAGCCTCCCAAAGTTCTGGGATTACAGGCGTGAGCCCCCTCGCCTGGCTGATTTTTGTGTTTTTTGTAGAGAAAGGTTTTGCATGTTGCCCAGGCTGGTCTCAAACTCCAGGGCTCAAGCAATCCTCCTGCCTTGGCCTCCCAAAGTGCTGGGATTACAGGGGTAAGCCATTGCGTCCGACCTCTCCTTCCATCTCTCTAGAGATGGTCCCCAGTTTGAGGAGCATCAGCACCAAAGAGACACACCCCTCACTATGCAATAGTATGTGTGCACCTGTGTGTGTGCCCTCCACATTCAGGCCCCAGGCAGTAAGAGTGTGTGTGCACATCTCTGCCCATCATGTCCAGGCCCTGTGCAATAGGCATGTGTGTACGTGTGCACATGTGTTTGTGTGTGTGTGTGTGTGCGTGCATGCACACTTGCACCCTATGTGTCCAGGGTAAAGTGTAGAAGTCCAGCCCCAAGGGTGACATGGAAGAGGCAGGAAAGAGGCAGGAACGAGACTTCCCCTCAGCAGGGAGCACGGGGACGCAGAGCCGGAGGCAAAGCACAGATTAGGGAGCGGACATCCCGGGAAAGGAAGTGACCGATGGGCGCCTGCGCTGGCCGCGCAGGAAGCAGGGCCCAGCCTGGAGCTGCCCACTCCCCTCCCATTTACTCGGGGTCTGGCCTCCGTTCATTTCGCAGGACCATCCCTGATCTTCACTCTTTAGGGTGACTGATCTTTAGGGGCTCTGAATTCAGGGAAACTGAGTCTCAGAACCCCTCCAGCCCCCATGTTGGTGCTCCTTCCTAAGGGGTGGGTGCTCATAGGGTGGATAGGGTGGGTGGAGAGGGTCTGTTGCTCCCAAAAAGGACCTGACACCCTTGCCCGCTCCCGGCAGAGAGTTAACGTCCAGTTCAACAACGGGGAGCATGGCTTTGACAACAAGGACATGGACATGAAGACCATCTTCCGCGCCGTGGGCCCCAGCTTCCGGGCGGGCCTGGAGGTGGAGCCCTTTGAGAGCGTCCACGTGTACGAGCTCATGTGCCAGCTGCTGGGCATCGTGCCAGAGGCCAACGACGGGCACCCAGGTGCCCTGCGGCCCATGCTGCGCACAGGTGAGAGCAGGGGGCCCCGCACCCCGGCCTGCTCTGGAGTGCACGTGTGTGCACGTGGGTGCCTGCATGACTGTGACCAGCACACCCGTCCAGCCACCCTTCCTTCTCCCTGGCTTTGGGGAACACCAGAATTCCTCACATTCCCACAACACGTGACCTCTCACGAGCACCTCGTGCATCTCAGGGGGCACCAAAGGGCGAGCGGAAGGAGTGGGCAGCCTTGCCCAAGAGGGGGTCGGATGGAGTGAGGTTGGCCCAGGTGGGGCTCTGTGCAGAGCCCACCCGCTGGACCCCCACGCCCCACTCCCCACCACGGCAACCTGAGGGCCTCCTTTCTGGAATTTTCCTGTATCAGCCTCCCACGCACACAGCTCCCTATCTGAACCTGACCCATCTTGGGGACAGAGGTCACCTGGAAACTGACAAGGTGGCAACCCTGGAGGGGGCCTGGCTGGAGAGGGGTGGGCCCACTGAGCAGGGTTGTGGAGGGCTGTGGTGGACAAGGGCCATGGGACCAAGGGAGCCATGAAGGAGGAAGTCGGGGGCTCATGGGGACGACCAGGAGAGGACCCTGAGTCTATGGCGGAGGAGCCGGGTCAGAAGCCATGCCTCTCTCCCTCACCGGCCCTCTGGCTTTCCTCAGAGTCCACTCTCCTGCCAGATGGAGGGTCAGCTCTCCTGCCCAGCAGCTGGCTGCTCCTCATGATGGGACTGCTGGGGACCATGATTCTCCTGTCTGAGGTCGCATAACGCCCCACGGCTCAAGGTGAGAGACCCAGAAGGCAGAGGCAGGAGGGTGGCCCCGTGCTCCCTGACCCTCCACCCTGATGTCCTAGGCAGCCAGAACAGAGCTGCTGGCCCCCCACCAGGCCAGTGACTCCCACTGACCTGGTTGCCACCGAGAGACGATCACCCTGGGGACCCCACGGCTGACCCTTCCAGCCTCTCTGCTTCGGGTTTCCAGAGCAGAGCACCCAGACCCGTGGCCAGAACTCCCACCCTCTCCCAGACGCCAGAATCCCTCAGCCTCTGGACAGAGCTGCCTCCTCCCTCCTTCCTGCCATGTCTGTGCTCCACTGTGACAGCTCGGAAGCCGTCATGGGGGGTGCGTTTGGGAGCAGAGCTCTGGGACTGTGTTCCTGTAACTCTCTGGAAGCCAGCCTCTGAGGACACGCGTGGGGAGCGTGTGGGAGGAGAGCTCGGGGCTGTGTTTCTGGAACTCCCCGGGAGCCTCCGAGGACACTGCTCCCTTGTCTGCTAGGCCAAGCAGAAGAAAGTCATTCATTCATCCTGAAAGTATGTAATGGGAGCCAGCTCCAAGCCAGGCTCTGGTCTGGGCTCAGGATATGCAGCAAACAAGACAGTCCAGTCCCTGGAATCTAGGACCTGCCATTTAAAGGCCCAAGAAGGCAGAGAATACAAAGCAAATGAATCCACACGCGAAGTGCTCAGACGGTGGTGATGGCAGAGAAGAGATGGCCACAAGCAGGGATGGGGCAGGGGCTACCTTTTCATTTGCCCAGACTGGAATGGCCTCTCCAAGAAGGTGGATTTAGGGAGAGATGGGAATGATGAGAAGAAGCCAGGCACACCAGCCTCTGGGAAAGAGATTCCAGGCAGGGGAAAGAGCCAGTGAAAGGCCCCTCGGGGGGGGGACGGGCCCGGCATGTTCTGGATGAGACAGAAGGCCAGTGTGCCCACAGGCTGGCATGCGAGTGAGCTCCAACATGAGCTGACCACAGCCCGGAGGCAGGAGGTTGTTTGATGCTTGTGGAGCGGGTGGGGGGAGCCCCAAGCAGAGCTTACACAGGGTCTGAGGTCAGTGATTCAACCAGTCACTCTCACTGCTACGCCAGGGACAGAAATGGGAGCAGGAAGTGACCAGTTTGGAGGTGGCCGCAGGGCCCAGCAGGACGGTCCAGTGGCAGGGGTGGAGACGCTGCAACGTGCACAGATTCCAAATGTCTGTGCCACATTCCAGGAGTGTAGACAGACCGTAAGGGGGAGGTGAAGAAAATGGACAAATGAAGGATGGGTCCGACGCTCAGGTCCTGAGCCACTTGCTGACTCAGGACCCGAGTCAGCAAATGTTGGGGACAGGAGTCGAGGGAGCTAAGAGTTCTGTTTTGGCCACGATCAGTCCCAGTGCCAACAACGCGGCCACGTGTGGCTGTTCCTGGCACAGGTGCAGATGAGTCCACAACCAGGGGTACCGTGCAGTCTGGCAATTTACATTTGAGACTTGTCAGTGCAAGCTATGGGACTCAATGAAAGCCCCCCACCAGAAGGAGTGGACTGAGAAGAGATGGGGTCGTACGACTCACTGAGAAGGCGGGGCTGCTGAGACAGGAAAAGCCAGCGCTTGTCATGAGTCAAGAAAGAAATGAGTCTGGGCGTAGTGGCTCCTACCTGGAAGCCCAGCACTTCCAGAGGCCAAGGCAGGAGGATTGCTTGAGCCCAGGAGTTCAAAACCAGCCTGGGCAATATAGTGAGACCCCATCCCTATAGGAAATTTCTTTTTAATTAGCTGGGTGTGTGTGTGCCTGTAATCCCAGCTAATGGTAGGAGAGGCTGAAGCGGGAGGATCACTTGAGCCCAGGAGGTGGAGGCTGCAGTGAGCCTTGATCTCACCACTGCACTCCAGCATGGGCAAGAGTGAGACCCTGTCTCTACACAATAAATACATAAAAGAGAAAGGAGTGGGTTTGGGGTTGAGAGAAGCAGGAATGTGGAGATGTGTGAAGTGGAGAGGAGCATTCATGCAAAATGTCACACCCAGAAGGGGACCAGAGGACCCTTCAGCCTGAACCCCTCATGCAGATGAGGATGCTGGAACCCAAGGCATTAGCTGACTGGTCCAACGGCACCAAAGAGTGGCCGGTGGCATGTAAGGTCCTGGTCCCGAGTACTTTCGGCCACAGCGCCTGCCTCTCTGTGCTCAGGGGCCCTGGTCCTTGAAGCAAGTCTTCCAGCTCTAGTCAGGGACATGATAAGCTTTCCACGGCGCTAGAGACCACAACCATTTGTTCTCCACATAAACTAAGAGAGGGACTCAGAAAAAGTCATTATTCAGACGCACACGTGAGAAAACTGAAGCACAGAAAATCGAAGGCCACGGGACTATGCACATTCTCACGGCGGGGGGGGGTTCCCCAGAGCGGCAGCCACCGTGGCGCCCCAGCAAACCAGCTCTCCAGATCCCCCTCAGAAAGCCCTACTGTTGCCCTTACCCACTTCTGTGGCATCCACACTCTCACTGTGGCCCATTTCAAGGTACCAATGTGAGGTCACAGAACACGAAGTAGGGAAGAAGGCCCAAGAACCATCTTCACAAGCAGCACCTGCTGGCCTGAGCAGGTTGCTAAGAGCTGGGGGGCCCAGAGTTTTCAAGGCAGCCTGGTCAATTCCATTTGGAACTAGGGTGTTCTCTGTGGCCAGCTTCTTTTCTTTTCTTTTTTTTTAGACAGATTCTCACTGTGCTGCCCAGGCTGGGGTACAGTGGTGCGATCACGGCTCACTGCAGCCTCGACTTCCTGGGCTCAAGCCATCCTCCCACCTCAGCCTCCTGAGTACCTGAGACTGCAGGTGTGCACCACCACGCCCAACTAATTTTTTTATTTTTAGTTTTAAAAAAAAGCTATGTTGCCCAGGCTGGTCTTGAACTCCTGGCCTCAAGCAATCCTCCTGCCTTGGCCTCCCAAAGAGCTGGGATTACAGGCATGAGCCAGGGGCCCAGTCACTGGGCCAACTTCTTTTCTCTAAAGGCAGTGTTGAAAGTACATGTGGCCAATTAAAGGCACATTGTAGGGGGCCAGGCGCGGTGGTTCACGCCTGTAATCTCAGCACTTTGGGAGGCTGACGTGGATGGATCACGAGGTCAGGAGTTCGAGACCAGCCTGGCCAAGATAGTGAAACCCCGTCTGTACTAAAAATACAAAAATTAGCCAGGCGTGATGGCGTGCCTGTAATCCCAGCTACTCGAGACGCTGAGGCAGAGAACTGCTTGAACCCAGGAGGTGGAGGTTGCGGTGAGCTGAGTTCGTGCAGTTCATGCCACTGCAATGCAGCCTGAGTGACAGAGTCAGACTCCATCTCAAAAAAAAAAAAAAAAGGCAGATTGTCGAACGGACGCAGGCTTTTGCCCTGATTTACAGAGTCCTCCCTTCCCAGCCAGAAGAATAGGCAGAAGACTAGGGGCAGCTCTTCTCTCTCCTGGGATACCCACACTGCCAGCTAGACCTGGGACAGTGCCCACCCCTCCCCTCCCAGCCCACAGCCCTGGGAGAAGGGTCTGAAGCCTCACATCATCACGCACCCCCAAGGCGACACCTGCCCCCAAGCTGTGCCCTCCCAGGAATCCCCCACACAGGCCCTACTCAGCGCAGCCTGGCAGAGCTGCCTCCTCCCACTGCGTGCACCCCCCACACCCCCCTCCTGCAACCAGCCTGTTTCCCACCACCCCTCCCTTCCAGTCCAGCCGCACCTCTGCTCCACCTGTCTCAGCAGACCCATCCTCAGCCTGCCCCATCCCCTCCTCCCGGACCAACACGTGCTGCTTGCTCTTCCAGGAAGCCTCTGGGAGCCGCCCGCAGCCCTGGGCCTGCCGTCCCGCTGTGATGCTCTGCTGGACGCGGACGGACCCTCCCTCCCCAGCTTATCCCAGGCCATAGGCGGCATGCACTGTCCCCCGCCGCGCCAGTCCCCGTGCTGGTAATAAACCTCGCAGCCCAGGCCCAGGGCCCCCGGCGCGCGGGCCCCAAAACCCTGCCCCCCCCCCCCCCCCCCCCC